CTAATTACCCCAAACCAAAACCATGAGCAAAAACTGACGAAGATCTTCAAGCTAAAGCAAGTTAGATTCCAAACCAAACCCAAGGCAGCTGCTGGTGGTGGTGCTGCAGCTCGAGATGCTCCTCGCTGCTGCTCAGACAAGTGCTCACGCTGGACCACCAGCTGGTCCTGGTGCTGCTGCCGGTGCCGGTGCCGGTGCAGCTGCTGCTGATCCCCGTGCAGCTGCTGCTTCCGCCGCCGCCGGTGCAGCACCTGCTGCCTCTCGAGCAGCTGCTTCTCGAGCAGCAGCTGCTGCTCCAGCAGCTCGAGATGCTCCTCAGGCGGCAGCAGCAGCTCTTCAAGCTCCTGCTCAGACAAGTGCTCGCGCTCCTGGATCCAATGGATCCGCCACTTCTGCTTCCGCCGCCAGTGCTGGAGCTGCCGCTCGAGCAGCTGGAGCCGTCCCTGCCATTGCTTGACAAGTTGGAGATGCTGGATCCGCTGCTGGTGGAGGTGGAGCTGGATCTGCTGCTGCTGCGTTGCTGGAGCTCCTTGGCCGCTGAGAGTGAGAAGGAGAGGTCAGAAGTGTTGTGTGTGTATATATATAGCTTGGCACAATGGGAATTTTCTCAAACTTTAATTATTAATGAATATTGTAGGGTTGAACAGTATCCCTCCAAACCACATTAAATTTTTACTGAATAAAAAAAATTTCTATCATTCGGTTAGGTAAAATTGTCATAAAAAAATAGATCAGATAAAAAAACTTGAAAACTAAACATTCCTTTTCCCATCCCCACCGCATCTTCAAACTATACATGGAATCGATGTTACCAGATACTTGTTAAGTATATTCGTCGCAGGTTAAAAAAAATTATAAATAGAATTTTTCAATATGTTTTTGTATTTAAAAATTTTTTAAGTGAAAAAAAATTATACATAAATATAATTAAATTAATCAAGAACTAATTAATAAATTAAAAAAACAACTATAAAAGATAATTAAAAATAAAATAAGAAATATCTAGATAGATTAAAATATTTAATTTTACAGGATGTGAATTTTACGTAATTGTGTTTATTAAATTGTTAATTAAAACAAATTTTTTTATTTAATTAAATAAAAATAAAAATAAACACACATTAAATTTATTGAATAAAATAAAATAAAAAAATAATATTCAAAACTGCATATATTATAAATATTATTTGAAATTAAAATCTTTTTATTTTAAAAAAATAAAATTCATCTATATAAAAAAATATAGATAAATCAAAAAAATCTTCTTAATACATAACTAAAAAACAGTCATTTTAAAGAGAATATCTAACTAATAAATCTAAATATAAATAAAAAATGTATTAAAAAAGCATTAATTTTAAAAAAATTTAAAAAAAAAAAACAAACAAAAGTTAGGAGCTGTTGGACCTAGAAAATTAGGCTAGCCCACAAACTGTTTTTTTTGCAAATTATTTATGAGAAAAATAAGATGATGCTCGTCTATTGGCTAGATATCTTTTTCTCTTACAAAATAGTTGTGCATGCATGTTTTTTAGATGAAGTTTTGTACATAAAAAAATAAAAGTATAAATTAAAAAACCCATACATACGTAATCAAATAAATTGACAATCTATATGAATAAATAATAATAAAAAATATATGAACAATAATTAAAAATAAAATTAAAAAATTTGATCGTGTTAATATTTTTTGAATTCATTTATTAAAATTAATATTTTTATTCAATCAAATAATATTAAAAATATACAAACGTATTAAATTGATTAAATAAAATAAAAGTAGAAAAAATATTATGCAAGGTTATTATACATGTTAATATTATTTGAAAATAATTATTTTTTATTTTTTAAAATTAAGTTCTTTATGCAAAAAGATAAAAAAAAAAAACTATTGATGAATCATAAGAAGTTTTTCAAAAATTAAATACGAACAATACTATAAAAAAAATTCTATAAAAAAAATCATAAATGAAGGATATTAATCGAAACATAAATTAAAAAAAGATATATAAAAAATAACAATATAAAAAGCAATATGAGAAAAATATTATCTGGTTGTTGTGATTTAATTCGTTAAACCTGTTACTGGAGTATGAACTCAACCGATTTCAATAAGTTTTTCCCTTGAAATTTATATCAACCTTTAACAAAAAAAATAAAAAATAAACATGTGACCTGAATTATAAACTCAATTAAATTTAATAATTGTTTTTTTTTTAATTTATATTCAATCTTTTTTCAAAAAAATATAAACAATACCATCAAATAACAATTTATATCCAAAAAAAGTTAAATAAACAAAATAAATCAGAGATGACTATATTAATTGAAACATAAATTTAAAATTATATGAAAAAAGATATATAAAAAAAGATGTTAGTATAAAAAAGCAACATTATAAAAAAATAATTGCTGATTATTGCGACTTAACTCGTTATACTTGTGACTCGGTCCATAAACTCAATTGAGTTTAATATTTTTTCTTAAACATTAAAAAAAAATGAAACATGTGACTCGAACCATAAACTTAATGAGTTTCAATAATTTTTTAATTAAAATATGAATTTAAGAATTTTTTTTTAAAATACCACTAAAATAAAGTAATATAAAAAAAATTAATTACCCTATTATTATAATTTATGTCGTTAAACTTGTGACTCAAATCATTAACTCAACCAAATTCAATATATTTTTACTTATTCTTTAAAAAAAAACCTTTTAACTCAAACAATACACTCAACCGAATTCAATATTTTTCTCCCTTTAAATTTATAGCAAATCTTAAAAGAAAAATTAGTATTGTCCATGATAAAAACATGCAAGGTAAACCCAAAATATAAACTAGCTAGGTTTAATAATTTGTTTTAAATTCAATTTTTTTTTAAAAAAAACTCGTAACCACACGGTGAACTTGCACGGTGTTTTCCCACGCCATTTAGAAAGATCATAGATTTGTTAACATTCAGTTCTGAAAGCATTCCCAGTTCATTTACTCGAAGTAATTATTACCTTTCGATCCAGATGAAATCTCAACTTCACTGAGAATATTCGTCCATCTTTGTACCTTCTCCTCGTTTTCCCTGAGATTTTTTTCATTCTTATCAAAGACAATTGTGTAACTCACTGTTTGATCATCCATCTTTGATTGTTCGACATCATAAGAAACTGGAAACACAGTGTCCGATCTCATCTCATCCATGAATCCGACAATCCTGACAAGTTCGTCAAAGTACCAAGGTAAAGAAGCACAATCTCTAGAAAATATAATAATTGACATCCCTGATTCTTCAATGGCCTCAAAGAGTCTTGATCTAATTGCCATTACTTTCTCTGGTTCCTTCTCGACTCACATAATGAATCCCAGGGCTAGATCTGAATTTAAATAGTTGAAAGCATCACTAGCGTCTGCGACACTGGTGACAGGGAAGACATTGGCCATCCATTCATGGTACGACGAAGAAAAAGCTAAAGAATCTTTATATGAAGAAGCTGCTTCTTTGCTTGTGACAATAAAATGGGCAGATGTTTGTGGTTTCATATATAGAGAAGATAACAAACAGACACCACAATTCTTCACCTTCACTCCTTGCTCGTAAGAATGAAACGACAACTCAATGTTGCTAAAGGATTCATGCTGCCATTCTTGAAGCTCTTTAAGGTAATCCAAAGATAGATAGAATAGCCAGATATGATCTGAAAAGAGATGGCCTTTAAAATTAATACACATCGGCGAAGGATAATTCTCTCTTCCATTGGCTTT